ACACAGCCTGGTGAGGACCCACCGTTCCTTATGGGGACAAAAAACCTGGTCCCCTTTGTGGGAAATTCCGTTGGTGGTTCAGGGGTTCGAGTTAGGACTGAGGTGGGAATTGAGTTTAGGTTAAGTTTAGGGTCAGGYATGCACTGGGGTRGCTAGGTTTGTGGTMAGGGGTCAGGTAAATGAATGGAMGTCAATGCAAAGTCCCCATGAAGATAGAAGAACAAATGCGTGTGTTTGTGTGCACATAGCTCCCATGCCCTGACATCTGACGTGACCATCAGAGAGACGGCTCGAGCTGCCGAGTTCTTCCTCTCAGATGGACTCATCCTCACAGGAGCAGCAACAGGAGAGCAGGCAGACCCCAGAGAGCTCAGAGGTACGACTGCGTTTCCTCCAGCTGCTGCTGTGAAGTCTCTTAGTGCAAACTGTCACACTGCTTTGTGCGTCGTCTTCATATTGTACAGCAATATAGAGCTGCAGAAATCAGCACGTTTGCACTTTTTTGTGATTTAGCACAGGTCCTCATTTCAAAATYATGTCAGATGTGACTTTCCCCTTTCTGACCAGCAGAGGAYGCCGTTACATTGAAACACTGAGACTTGGTCAGGTGTATGGATAAATTGCACATCAGCATATTTCCTGATGCCAAAAGCCTCCATGCTTGTTTTTTTTAAAATTGTTTTCCTTTTCATTCCCATAAGTATGATCTGAACCTCCRTATTAAGCAATCCTTTCAGGCATTGCTCAAAAAGCTGGGTACCATCGCTGCACATTGAAGCRTTACTTTTTGTGCCAATTTTTCTGAACCACCCGTGACAAAACAGTGTACCCATATCACTACATAAACTCACAATTTAGGATCACCAATTAAATAATAATACCAATATGATGTGCCAGTATGAAGGCAGGTTTGTACAGATCACCTGAGGGTCACTGTGTCTGAAAAATGAGCCCTCCAGACAAATCAGGGCTCCTATATTTAGCAACGTCACCGTCTTGATGCTCAGGATTGCGAACACTCAGCTGGCAGGACACACTCGAGGTTTCTTGTGTGCTGTAATGCAGGAAAGGACACACACACACTTTCCCTCTCCTCCTCACACTCAGATGAACTTTCACATATTGAATGGTGAGCAAACACAAGGATGCCGGATAGAGTCGAACTTTCTCTGTCTACAAAATGTTTTGTCCCATTTTTCTAGTCAACACGTGTAAAGATGTTGTTGCCTTTTCCCTTTAAAACATCTCTGTATATYGACTTTCAGGGTCACGGCTGCAGGCAGGTCAGTCCAGTAGTTATGTGAGCAGAATGTAATTTTCCTTTGTCATGATGAAACCAAAACACCTCAGGAAAACAGAACTGAATCCTGCACGTTTTAGATGTTTCTCTGGTTTGAATGAATGAGTGATTAACAGGCTTCTTCTGCAGAACTTGAAGACCTGTTAAGGAGCAGGAAAACAACGGAGCAGGATTGGTTCCCGCTGCTTTGCACAATTGTCAACATCTCATTAATGTGTTTATTTCAGCAGACAAATGACCGATCACATCGAAACAAGGATAAAGTCCAAAAGTGGAATGTGGCAGATGTAGGGTTTTGATTTAAACATGTCCAAAAATTGCATTTTGTCAAAATATAATGAATAAATGCCTTATCAATGTATCATTTCAACGAACTGTCTGAAATATAATCTTAAAAATTTTTTTGAAGCATTTATTTGAGCCATAGCAACAAAAAACCTGATTTTGAGGAAAAACGCCTTAAATTTTAGAATTTTTCCCTGTGAGCYAGCAAAGTTTTTGTCTCTTTCCAACTGGGAAATCTTAATATTCAAATACTATTTGAGGTTTCCTCTTTATATGAA